TTTTTTTTTTGGGGTGGGGTCCTGGTGCCTCTGGCAACGACCAAAGCCCCCCCACCCCAAAAAAAAAAAAGGGAGGGGGGGACACGCCCAGACCCTGTTGGGGACATTTTGGGGGGATCCCTAATTGGACACCCCCAATTTTGAGGAGGGGGGGGTCCCCAAATGTTTGTGGGTCGCCATTTTTGGGTGAGGGGGGGGTCGCTGTCCTCATGGGGGGGGGGTCCCCAACTTTGTCAGGATTTGGGGGCGGGGGTTTCCCCCAGAGCTGTCCTCGTTTTTAGGGTGTCCCTGTGCTTTGGGGGTGTCCCCATTTTTGGGGGGTGTCCCCCATCTCAGCAGCTTCTGTTCCTGCAGGGGGGACTTGTCCTACTTCCCCCCGTGTTTTGGGGTGTCCCCCCGTGTTTTGGGGTGTCCCTCCCGAATTTTGGGGTGCCCTGGGGGGGAGGGGGTGTCCCCAATCCTGTGAGCTCCATCCCCATCACCATTGCCGTCCCCCCCCTCCCCATTTTGAGCTGGTCCCCACAACTTTTAGGACTTTTTTTCTGGGGCCGTGGTCCCCCCCTATTTTGGGGGTGGTCCCCCCCTATTTTGGGGGTGGTCCCCCCTTATTATTTTGGGGTTTTCCCCCTCCCCGCATTGGTGTCCCCAAGCCAGGAGGTTCCATCCTTGTCCCGGGGGTGTTTCCCCAATCCCAGGGGTGTCCCCCCCATTCCGGGGGGTGTCACCCCGATTTTTTTGGGGTGGTGTCCCCATATTTTGGGGTGGTCTCCCCATATTTTGGGGTGGTGTCCCCATATTTTGGGGTGGTGTCCCCATATTTTGGGGTGCTCTCCCCATATTTTGGGTTTACCCCCCTACACTGAGGAGCTCCATCCCCGTCCCCACACCGGGAGGTTCCATCCCTGTCCCGGGGGTGTCCCCCCCAATTCCGGGGGCGGTCCCCTGATTTTTTGGGGGTGGTCCCCCCCTATTTTGGGGTTCTCAGTGATCCCTCCCCACATTGATGTCCCCAGACCGGAAAGTTCCATCCTTTTCTCGGGGGCGTTCCCCAATTCCGGGCGGAGTTCTCCCGGATTTCTTCGGGGGATTCCTCCGGATTTTCTTTCAGGAATTCTCCCGGGGTTTTTTTGGGGGGTTTCTCCCGGATTTTTCGGGGGGTCCCCCAGGTGTTTTCCGGGGGTGTTTCAGGCGCACTTGGCCCGTGCCTGGGCCAGCAGGTCGCTGAAGGAGTCGAAGAGGCGCTCGAGCCAGGGCTGGTTGCGCATGCAGCGCTGCACCACCTCCTCCTGGCCCAGGTCCTCGGCACGGCCCTCGATGGCCGTGGTCTGTGGGGACAGCGCAGCGTCAGCGCCGGCGACACCGGGGCTACGGGGGCTAATGGGGCTACCGGGGCTATTGGGGCCACCGGGGCTAATGGGGCTACCGGGGCCACCGGGGGTATTGGGGCCACCAGGGCCAGCGGGGCTATTGGGGCCACCGGGGCTAATGGGGCTAACGGGGCCACCGGGGCTAATGGGGACACCGGGGACACCGGGACTAATGGGGCTATTGGGGCTACCGGGGCCACCAGGGCCACCGGGGCTATTGGGGACACCGGGGCTAATGGGGACACCGGGGCCACCGGGGCTAATGGGGCTATCGGGGCTATTGGGGCTATCAGGGCTATCAGGGCCACCGGGGCTATTGGGGCTAATGGGGCTATGGGGCTAATGGGGCTACCGGGGCTATTGGGGCTATTGGGGCCACCGGGGCCACTGGGGGTATTGGGGCCACCGGGGCTATTGGGGCCATTGGGGCTAATGGGGCTACCGGGGCTATTTGGGCTATTGGGGCCATCAGGGCCACCGGAGGTATTGGGGGCTACCGGGGCCACCGGGAGTATTGGGGACACCGGGGCTATTGGGGACACCGGGGCCATCGGGGCTATCGGGGCCACCGGGGCTACTGAGCGGGGGGATGGGCAGAGGGGTGGGGGAGGGGCAGTGGAGTCGCCATTGTGGCTACTAGGATGGAGGGTGGGGAATGGACATCGTGGCTACTGGGAGGGGGGACGGGCAACAGGGTGGCCACTGTGGCTACCGGGAGGGGGGATGGGCAGCGGGGTGGCCACTGTGGCTACCGGGATGGGGAGTGGGGTGAGGAATGGACACCGTGGCTACTGGGATGGGGGACGGGCAGCGGGGTGGGGGAGGGGCAGCGGAGTGGCTATTGTGGCTACTAGGATTGGGGATGGGAAGTGGGGTGGGGAATGGCCACTGTGGCTACTGGGAGGAGGGACGGGCACTGGGGTGGCCACTGTGGCTACCAGGAGCGGGGACGGGCAGTGGGGTGGGGGATGGCCACCGTGGCTACCAGGATGGGGGATAGGCAGTGCGGTGGCCACTGTGGCTACTGGTACGGGGGATGGGCAGCAGGAGGGGGAATGGAGACCGTGGCTAAGGGGATGGGGGATGGGCAGTGGGGTGGCCACTGTGGCTACCAGGAGGGGGGGATGGGCACTGGGGTGGCCACTGTGGCTACCGGGATGGGGGATGGGCAGCAGAGTGGCCACTGGGGCAGGGAAAGGTCAGCAGGATGGAGGGGAGGGGCAGTGGTGGCCACCATGACAACCACGGTCATTGTCACGGAGTGACCACCAGCACGGCCACCGTGAGGGGGAGGGGCACAGGTGACAAACAGGTGGCCCAGGTGACAGAGTGGTGGCCCAGGTGAGCTCACCTTGTCCTTGCAGCACAGGAAGGTACAGGGGACACAGGGGG